CGGCTAACCACTAGGCCCACTTATTTCGGCTGACATCTTTACCTCGGCTAACATTGCGGTCAGCCAAGTTACTTCGGCTCTGTGATACTTTAAGCACTACTATCAGTCTTGACTTCAAGATGACGCCCTGCAGAGCTATCGTTTAGCTCGGTCCTCTTTCTACCGATACCTCGGTCCATAGTTCGGCCCAAACCCAAAATATGAGATGTCTTCTTGGCCTAAGACCGAGCTACACCAGCCCTTATCTCGGCCCATTACGCGGTCCAACTCCCAAAGAAGACTCTTCCTAGCTCGGCCCAATTTATTTACAAATTACCCTCTCAATTGCCCCTTAATTCCATCTGCGTAGCATGATTGGGATTATTTTTCCTTCAGCCGAGCTAAGAGGTTGTTCGGTTTCACGACTTGTTCGGTCCCAATAAGCCTTATCAGTTGCTTAGCATGTCCTTCCACTAATCTGGTACGACGTTATTCTCAGGATACATGGCGTGCCCCCAATATCCTTGTTCTCCTTGTTACCATCGTCATGCCAAAAAATTGAATAGCCCTGATTTTTTGCCTTTAACGTATATATCCTTCGAGTTTGTATACGTCGAGTCGTTCTTTCTGTGTCTTGCCGAACAGACTAACTCAGTTTATACAAACCTTGACAACCTGTTTTGGTCGAGGTAACCATCATCCCGGTCAAAGAGTTCCAAAAAAATTTGTTGGTCAAACCTGCCAACCTACTTTGGCCGAGGTAACCATCATCCCGACCAAAGAGTTTCAAAAATTTTGTTGGACATACCTGCCAACTTCCTGCAGCCTAGATCCTTATCTTGAGCTTAAGAGAAGTAAGTGTTGGTTTTTCCAGCCAACCTCTAAGTTGGTTATTCCGGCCAACCTAGAGTAAAGTGTTTGGTTATTCCGACCAAACGTCCTGCAGCCTGGATCCTTATCCTGGGCTTAGGAGAGGTGTTGGTTTTTCCAGCCAACCTCTAAGTTGGTTATTTCGGTCAACCTAAAGTAAAGTGTTTGGTTATTCCGATCAAACGTCCTGCAGCCTGGATCCTTATCCTGGGCTTAGGAGAGGTGTTGGTTTTTCCAGCCAACCTCTAAGTTGGTTATTCCGGCTAACCTAGAGTAAAGTGTTTGGTTATTCCGACCAAACGTCCTGCAGCCTGGATCCTTATCCTGGGCTTATGAGGGGTGTTGGTTTTTCCAGCCAACCTCTAAGTTGGTTATTCCGGCCAACCTAGAGTAAAGTGTTTGGTTATTCCGACCAAAAGTCCTACAGCCTGGATCCTTATCCTGGCTTGAACAAGTGCTAAATGCTTGGCCATTCTTGCCAAGCTTCTTGGTTGCCCCCCAGTCGGGCAAAGACTTTTGCGCTTGGTTAGTCCTTCTTGCCAACCGTGCTAACTTTTGCCGAAGGTGTTCTGTCCGATATCACTGTTTGTATCGAACTCTACCTTGGTGTGCATCCCATCTTCCTCTACCAAGATGTGTTGGTGCACTCGCTCCATCAGGGCTTCCATAGAAAGAGGTGGCGTCATTGTTATTGAATCTCTCAATTTATGACCCACTAACAGACCTTGCTTGTACTGTGCAATAGCTAGGTTTTTAGGACAATTTGTTACTTGGTTGAAGGTCTTCCAATAGCGATTTTCGTAAGACTTCAATGTTTCTTTCTTGCCCATGCTGATGGAGAGAAGCTGGTCAATCTCTACCGGTGTCTTGGTGTTTGTTCTGAATCTGGTTACAAATGCCTCCGTTAGTTGCGCCCATGAGGCTATACTACCTTCTGGTAACCTTTCAAACCATGCTAAACCCATGTCGCCAAGGCTGGACGGAAACATGATACACATTAAGGGCTCGTTTCGTCGATACACGGCCATAACCTGGCGAAGGTGGCTTAAGTGTATGTAGGGGTCTAACTCCCCCTCATAAGTTATGAATTTAGGCTGATGGAAGCCTAAGGGTAATGGTGTGTCCCCAATTGTCAGGATGAACGGTGAGCTCTGCAACCTTGCTAATGCTTTGTCTGCTGGTTCATAGGCGAGACGTGGTTCTGGAATTCCAACCTCGACACTCCTATGTGTTCTAGGAGCCAATCGTTGTAGTGCGGAGACTCTGCGGGGGTCACGATCCTAAGTGTCTTCTCTCCTTCGAGCCCTTTCAGTCTTCTTTCTCTCAGGTCTGGAGTAGCGTGTCCTGGAAGTCTTTGATCGTGTATCACCCGACCTGAGGCTTCTACTTTCAGTTTGTGATAGTGTGACTTGTCTACCATGATCTTCTGAGTGGCAAGAGTGTGTGTTGCCTCTGCTCCCTTCTTTTGTTGCCACCTCTTTGCTTTTTATCTCGCTCTTCATAAACTCTATGTCAGCCGCTATTCTTCTTATTACTTCGTCTTGCTCCCTTACGCAATCTTCGAGTACCTGATGATCCATCTTCCGCCTCTGTCTATCAGGGCTCCAAGAGCGGTGTGGACTTGAGCCCTGTCTTCTTCTTGCTTCTCTCCGCGAATTCCTTTGTTGGGGATTTAATTCCGCCATGGGTGGGATAGAAGTTAAACCTTCGCGCCTCCCAACCCCTTCCGGAGTTTGCCCATCTATAGCAAATTGCGGCAAGTCTTCATTGTGCGCCATTGCTTTTAACTAGAGAGGAAAACTTGATCAAGAGGTTTTGCTCTTTGTGAATTTCCCACAGACGGCGCCAATTGTACGGGAAAGAAATAAACCTTCTCGTATAATCCTGTTGATCAAGTCTGCGCTCATGAGCTTTTATAGACTTTACTTTGGCACAATCCTAGTAGGATTCCAACTCTCCCTATGAGAGTCCTCCTAGGAATCACACACCCTACTCACAACCAGCCAAGTGGATGGTTGTTTGCACAATCCTAGTAGGACTATACTCTCTTTAGCAGAGTCCTCCTAGCAGTACTCCTTACTCACTACCAACCAAAGTGAGATGGTTTACACAATCCCAGTAGGACTCTAACTCTCCTTAGCAGAGTCCTACTAGAAGTTCATCACTGCAAGCCAAGTGAGATGGCTGAACCTTTTACCTCGTTATACATTCCTGCCCGAACTATTTTATCATCGGTCCCCTGCCTTCGGACCGTGTGATCGAAAGCCGATCATAACGAATTATTCTATTTACAGAATTTTTCATTTGGGCTCTCGCCATTGATGCTACCTCCTTTTAATAAGCTGCTGCAACCACACTGAGCTAAGTTACCTCGGTCACACGCTTAAGTAATGATGTAGATGGCACCCAGCCGAGTTATACCAAAACCGGCCGAACTATACCAAGCCCGACATCCTTTCTCACCAATACCTCGGCTAACCACCAGGCCCACTTATGTCGGCTGACATCTTTACCTCAGCTAACATTGCGGTCAGCCAAGTTACTTCGGCTCTGTGATACTTTAAGCACTACTATCAGTCTTGACTTCAAGATGACACCCTGCAGAGCTATCGTTTAGCTCGGTCCTCTTTCTACCGATACCCCGGTCCATAGTTCGACCCAAACCCAAAATATGAGATGTCTTCTTGGCCTAAGACCGAGCTACACCAGCCCTTATCTCGGCCCATTACGCGGTCCAACTCCCAAAGAAGACTCTTCCTACCTCGGCCCAATTTATTTACAAATTACCCTCTCATCAAACATACAAACAAAAACAGACAGGATTTTTGCTTAAAAAATTGCGATTATCAAATGAGTGTCAAACTGATGATGAAAAACAAAAACAACAAAAAAAAAAAAAAACAAACAAACAAACAAACAAAAAATAGAAAAATGTATAAAGGCTGTTCATTGATAGACAAAAGTCATTTTCAAAACAAATGGACCCCTCATCAAACACTACCATGTGATAAAAATAGTACATCAAGTTCACGTTCTAACACTATTGTCTCCTAGAGTGCGTTGAAATAATCTCAACTCTTTGATCAAAAGTTAAAATGTGAAATTCAATTTCTATAATAAAATAAAATAAAAGGCGTACATATTATTTTTGATACACTTTGCTCCAAGTGAAAATTATAAAATTTATAAATAAATAAATAAAATTTAGTTTAAAAAAAAAAAAAAAAAGTCCTACGAACATAAAAGTAAAGAATTACGAAAAGTTAACAAAAATTTTAAAAAAAATTCTTGAACTTGGCATATCCGAACTGGGTTGGGATACATTCAAAACATTTTTTTTTTTATATAAAAAAAATATAATGTAGTTATTGTTTGTTTCCAGTTTTCATGAAAGAGTTTCCAGAAAATATACTCTTTTATTTTTTGTATTTTAATATTTTCAATGAATTTTTTTTAATATTTTAAGCAATTTTTTTAAATTTTTAGACACACTTAACATAAATACACTTAAAAAGTATAATATTTGTGAAAAAAATCTTTAAAAAAAATACTAAATACCAAAAAATACAAAAAAAAAATGAAAATTCAATGTATTTTTCTTATTTTTGTGTATTTATTAATTTTTTAAAATAATTTTTCACAAATATTTTACTATTTAGATACATTTAAGTAAGATGCATCCAAAAAAATAAAAAAATTACTTAAAATTTAAAAAATATTCACTAAAAACAAAAAATACAAAAAAAAACTCAATTTTTAAAAAACTAAATTTAGAAAACTGAGACCAAACACATTAATTTTGGATGTGATTGGCCACATCAAAAACTAACCCCAAACAAGTCTTTAACACAAAACAAAATTAAAAAGTAAAATATAATATATAAAAAGAACAACAACAACAACAACAACAACAACAACAACAACAAATGGGTCTCACAATGATCATATTTATGACACATAAGTTAGTAAACAAAAGGGTAATAGAATACAAACAAAAAAGTTTTGAGTAATATTACACAAATTAACAAATCTTATAAATCTTGCTTACCTATTGTTGCATTATGCGATAAAAAAAATTTAAAAATTTGAAAGAGGACTCATATCAATAATGTGGTAAGTGTCGTGAGTTAGTACTTAAATTTTTTTTTTTTAAATTCATTAGTTCGTACAGTATTTTTTAACTTTTTTTTTTTTGCTAACTTAGGCCAAGTTTGGGAACACTAAATAAGTGCACTTTTTGTCTTTTTGGACTAAAAAATTGAGATTGAAAATATGGATGTTTAGGTTAACTTTTTGACTTTTTATGAAAAAATGTGTAATAAAAAATTGTAAAAATTGGTTTGTAGAGGAAAATTTGAATTGGGAGTTGTGCAGTCGTAATTGTTGACTTTTGGTGAATAGTGTCAACTTTTTAACTTTTTGAGTAGCTTTTTGACTTTTTGGCTTATTTGGGACTTCCCAAACTTAACCTTACTATGTGGCAATGAATTGTTCCTATCATTCAAATTCAATGGATTCAAGTTCCAAAGTTTTACTATTACATGAGTGTTAGATTGGAAAAAATTAATAAAAAATTTATTGAAATTATATTTTTCTAACCAAATAATCAAATATAATTATTATAATTTTATTAAAACAATTTTTTTTTTAATCGAATATCGAAGTAAGCAAAGTTTTTTATTATTATTATTAAAAAACAAAGTTGATAATAGGGAGCAAAAAATCACAACAGTGACAACAACTGATCACCTCCCTAAAACCAATCCAACCACTTGCAACAACGCACGCAACACCCAAAAAAATCCAAAGCCAACCCAAAAAGTTGATAGGGATCAGGTTCGCACTTTTTCGAGGTTGAAAATAAACTTTAATGAGACTTTTTATACATATTTTTTTCGATGGTGCTATATGTATTAATTAATATACTAATTAATATGGTTTTTTTTAAGAAATGAGTTATAATTCACTTTTCGGATTATAACTCACTTCCTCTCTCATAAAAAAATTACTTATAAGTAGTTTATAAGCAGCTTTTAATCAAAAAGTTGGTTATAATCATCTTCTCAAAATAGTCAATATCAACACTAGTTATGATATTATTATTGACCATACTCATTAATCACATTATAAATATTAAAAATCTCTGAAATTATATCATATCATTAATTGATACATTAGTTAGTAGTACACTAATTAGTACATATAGTATTGTTTATTTTTAAAAAAATAATTACGGATCTTTTTTTTTTTTTTTTTTGATATTTGACAATATTCATTAAAAGGTTACTTTGAGTATATTTATGTAAATATATATTAAAGTTTACAATAAGGAAAAGATTAAAATAATCTAAATTAAAGTATCAAACACAAAATTAAATAAATTATAACAAAAATCACTTAAACATCATTCTTTTAACATTTTTAACTATAAAATTACTAATATAATTTGCATAATCCAACTTATAAGCTAAATCGTTTTCGATAAATAAAATTGCTGATTCATTTAATCTTTCATCAGATATAATTGAGTAAAGATATGATTTAATCAACTTTAATTTAAAAAGAGTAGCTTTAAGTAATATAATCAATCATATTTTACATATAACCCATACATTTAGAATATAACCATTCAATAATTTCAAATAATTCACCACATCAATAAATTTTTTGGTTTTTTTCGATAAAAAGCAACTATATATTAGTTTTAAATAATTTTCCATTTCAATCATTTATTAATTTTAAATCAGAATTTTGTTGATACCTTTTAAATTTCAATGAGATTTTTTATAGACTAATATAATAATTAATATTCTGAAACCCAAAGCGACTGCTTTACCAGCTTGTGCCAAAGCCGCGCCGTAGGACCACTCCAGTGATTAGCAACGCAAACCATCCGATTGCTCGAAATTTAATTTTTTTTTTTTCCTTAAATATTTGTCAATTGATAGGAATTATATACATATTAAGAAAATTTATTAAATTATATAATCAATTATATAAGCAAGTACATCAACACATACACATAACGCCAACCCCACAACATCATCAATAAATATATATATACATATAATAAAAAAATTACAAAAATTATTTTTGATAAGAATTGATTCCGGATAATATAATTTCCGAGAATTGATTCCGGATAATATAATTATTAAAAATTTATTTCTGAATTAACCTCAACTGATTGAAAAATGAATCAATTCACAGAATCAAAACTTTAAACCAAGCACATGAAGTGGACATAAGCATTGCATTCTCATACTATAAAAAGAAAACAACACCAAATTGCTAGCTGATAATTGCATTCATAAGAGCCAAAAAAGTGTCAAAGGACTGAAATTAAACAATAATGGAAGGTATGAAATATTTTCACATCTCACAACTCTAAAAGTTGAATGCCAAATTAGCCATGCTTGGCAAAGGTTTATGCAAGGCTTTTATTTGGAAATTTTTATTTTTATTAAAAAAATTAAAACGACATTACAAATTGTTAAGTCATCTTTCCATTTTTTTACACATATTTTTATTAAAAAAATATATAAATTATTTAAAAAATCATTTTTCATACACTCCGGTATGTGATTTAAACAAGATAAAGCAATGAACAAAAACTTGAGCTAGAACAAGAAAATGCAAACTAACCGATGATAAAACCAGGGGACTGCTAACCAGACGTAATGTCTAAGTTCGAATTTTATCATTGCAAAACAACTACTCTTCTTCTATTTCTCTTTTATCGATTATAAATAAGAGGGAGAGAGAGAAAAAGAGAGAGAACTGACCAAGGATAAATGGCATTGTTCTCATCCCTCCAAGCTTCTTCTGCTTCTTGTTGTTTTGAAGATCTTTCTTCTCTTGGTCCTCTCCATTTTCAGTCATGTTCTTCTCAGGCTCCATCTTGATATCCATATCACTGGTTGAGAGAGAGATAGTATCCAGGTGACTTGGTGATCAGAGAGAGAGAGAGACCTGTAATAACTAGAGAGAAGTGGTGACTCTTATCATGTGGTGGCTTATGTCATGTTCAATTTATAGAGTTGTCTTTACTCATTAATTTGTGTATGGATTGCTGTGTTGTGTGCCTCCTAGGCATTGCAGAGATCTTCATATTGAGCTTCTTTTTTTTTTTGCGAAGATGGTTTTTTTTATTTTTTTAGTTATTTTAATAAAAAATTGTGTTTAAAAAATTTGTTGGTATTTTTTTTTTATAATTAATTTGACAGTTAAGAGATTTAGATGTGATATTTTATTTTATTAATTATTTTAATTTATTTTGTCTTTATTAATTATTTTAACTCGAAAATCCATTGCCAAACATGACCATTAAAAAAACAATTTACTGAAACATAGAGCAGCTTTAGATATTTTTTTAGGGTAAATTATAAATATATCATCTGAATTTTATTTAAAATATAAAATTTTTTTTGTGATTTGAAAAATTATAAATACTCCTTTGTAGAATTTTTTTGGAGAAAATTAGTGAAATATATCTCTCCAACTTTTGATAATAAAAGAGGTCCAATATGTTTTTCATTAGGGTAAATTATAAGCACACTCTTTGAGATTTGCTTAAAATACGAATTATCTCTATAGTTTTGAAAATTACATCCCGCCTCTATGGTTTCTAATTTCATAACAAATGACCAATTTTATTAATAAATCACCAAGTTAATTAACAATTTTTAATTATGTATTAAATTTATTTCAATTAATAATTTAGGTAATTTTATTATTATATAAGAGATCAACTAGAAATTTTATTTTTTTTAATTAATTCTATTAAATAAAAAAATTCTTGCAATTTTTCAAACTGTAGAAAGCAATCTGTATTTTAAACAAATCTCAGGAGATGCATTTGCAATTTACCTTTTTGTTATTAGTTAAGATCCCCCAATAATATTATTAGAGAAATTTTAACTCATCATAGAGAAATTTCTCTATGAAAATGTTGAGAGACTACAACTACTATAAAAATATTGCATATCCTTTATGTTATAAAATTTTAATATCAAAGACCTTAACCTAAAAACCTCACTTTTTTGTTAATAGAATTGACTGAAAAAATAAAATCCCTAATTGTTCTTTTTTACAATAATAAAATTATTTGAATTATTAATTGAAATAAATTTATGATATCATTAAAAATTATTAATTCACTTAATAATTTATTTGTAATGAAATTAGAAACTTCAAGAGGCGGGATGTAATTTCAAGAACTAAATGAGGCAATTCGTATTTTAAATAAATCTCAATAGGTGTATGTATAATTTACCCTTTTTTTAAGTGATTTTTCTGTTTTTTCAATTTTTTTATGAGGTGAAAAAAACTAATACGTTTAAAAATAATTTTTTTAATTTAATAGATAATTGTAAAAAAAAAAATGATTGATTGATACGTACAATGTAACTCTTTTTTAATAGAGTTGAATTTGTTGACTTTTTATTTTTTGATTTTGACTTTTTTAGTCAAAAGATCTCCTGCCTACGGTGGAGCTCATTTAGAAATTGATTATTTTAGTTAATTTTTTTGATTTTTTATAAAAAAAATAATAATAATAATTAAAAAAAATTAGTATCGTGAAAACTTTTATTATAGTGATTTTTTTTACTATTTTAATCTATTTTAGGTTATTTTTGTCTATTAATGACTTTTTAGTTAGGGGTTGTTTGGGATGACATAAATAAGTGTATTTTTTGTCTTTTTACTAAAAGATGTGCAGAAAAATAGAGAGGTGATGTGATGGAAAAAAAATAAAAAGATAAATTATTTGAGACTTCTCAAACTTGGCCTTAGTATTCCCTCCATCCTATTTTGTTAGTCTATTATTTCATTTTGAAATGTCTCAAAATAATAGTCCCATTTGCAAAGTCAAAGTAAAAATCATTCCATTTTTCAAAACTTCTCCTTTTGAATAATTATAAATATATTAAAAAATGGAAAGGAGACCGCCATTAATGAAAAAATATTTTAAAATTTAAATTTAAATATAATGATTTTATGTCCCTTAAAAGGTTAAAATCCTCATAAGGGACCAACAAATTGAGACAAAAGGCCCGCTTTTTATTACTCGAATTCCATTACCAAATCAACGTTATAAATTCAATTTCAGAGATAACATGCAAAAACTTTTTACACTTACAAGGACACATGAATAAAGATTTTATCATCCGAATACCATATGAATGCAACAGGAGTTATAATTAAATAAATTGTCTGTAGGCTTACATCTTTTAAATTAAGACAAAGGGTTTAACCCTTTTATATCAATGGCATTCCGCTCACAAATAAAAGGCCCCGTAGCCAACAGATAAAGAAGATTTATGACCTTGAAACACTTTTCGATGTTCACCTAAAAAAGTATTAGCAACGTGGGATGAACATAAAGTCCAATAGGGATTTCAACATGATCCTAAATAATAACAACATACAGATAATAACAACATACAGATAGTTATAATCATGAATACTTAGTCTCATACTATATAAATAATATGACGGTTTATAACCAAAGAATATTTACATAAGTACTTTTTCCAAAATTATTCAATTACTTCAATAATACAGACAGTTCACATTTCCTTTTCAATTCTCATTTCAAAAGCACCTCATAACAATTATTTTGTTTTGGAGTTTGAAACATGTTCATAAATCTCTGATTTCCATCTCATTATTTACGAACTTAACGCACGGTCTACATCTTTTTTCAACACGTTCAAATATACATATGTATATCAAACACGAAAAACAAAAACAAGAAGCACCCGATAATTATCTACTCAACACATGAGACAAATCGACATTCATGAACTATAACCATCATAACGCATGATATATACAGGTACATTAATGATGAAAAATAAGCTCTACTCTACCTACCTTAAACACGATAAGCCAAGGATACACTTTTCCATAACGAAATGCCAATTTACCAGACACCGGCTAGAAGGTAATGGTACCTCTGCCAAATTCTCCAGGCACTAGCTGGAAGGTACTAGTACCTCTCATTCCAAGCACAGCTAATTCTCCAAGCGCTAGCTGAAAAGTAATGGTACCTCTCATTCTCAACACAGTATACGCTACCAATCATCACAACATGACAAAGTACAACTAACACAAGTGTAATGCATGCACATAAACTATTCAACACAACAATGTCATCCTCCACCGATGACCAATGACAAAATCTCTAAATGTATATTTTCAACACACATATTATAATAATTCAACTCTCATGAGATTTTATATCCAACAACAACAATAGTAAAATAAAATATTCATAATCTAACCTCAAGTTCATTTCTGAAATTCACCAGTGTTATGATTTCCCTTTTTCTTTTCAAAAATCAGTTCTCT